GGGAGGGGGTCCGGGGGCGGGGGGGGGGGGGGGGGGGGGGGGGGGGGGGGCCCGCCAGTCCCCAATCCTGAAAGACAACCATTTTATGAGGTGGGGCGCGCAACCCAAGCAACGGTAGAGAAAAACTGAGGTGAAAATCCTGAGGCAAACACGTTTTCTCGTGGAAAAGAGCTCCGCTGTGCCAGACGCTTTCTCTGGTCTAGACCTCAGAGACCAGCTCACCACTTTGACCTGGCTGGCCCTCAGAGGGCTCTTAATGAGCTTTCCCACCCTCCTCATCATAGAGGGCCTCACGGTGAATGACGAGACTTTTAATAAGGAAGATTTCTCCGTGGTAAACGCTGGAAACTTCGTGGTACCCTCATGCTTCCTCTTCGACCTGCCTGAAGTCAGTCACTGTACCAGAGAAGAGATGCTGAGGGAACCTGGGGGCGCAGAGAGCTGGACCCTGAGTTGGGAAGCTCCCACCTCCTCTTTACCTCCCATTTGCTTCTACTCTGAAGATCTCCACTAAACAAGGATTTGATCGTCGAGCTTTCTTCTTTCCCCCTAAATTTCATTATTTCATAAATAGCTTAAAGGAATACGTTTCTAAAGAAAAGCTGTCGATATCAACCAAGAATGTAATGGGGGAGGGGGCATCGAGATTAAAAAGGAAAAAAAAATCACAACCCTGCAAACCGTTGATATTTACATAGAGACAGTTGAGCAGATGAGCTGGTAAATGCCACCGTCCATCTCAAAGCTGTAGAAAACACACTTAGGACTCTGCAGTTTCTAAAGCCCACCTCTTTCTGTTTGTCACTCAAACAATCTTGTATCTCATTGCTCCTTTTAAACTGACGGGGCTGTCGTGAGCTCTTTCTGCTTGCTGTGTGGTTAAGTGACACAAGAGCCCTCTATGCTGAGTCTTTGTTCTCTCCCTGGGGCCCTGTGGTTGAAATAATTAGCAGGGAGGTTCCATCAAGAATCACTGAGGGTCCCTGTACTGTACAGCCCTCTGTAGAGCGTACTGCAGAGAAACCAGCTGATAGGCTTTTGCCCCCTGGTGGTGATCAAGAGAGCCTATGAGACAAAACAATGATATATGATTTACAAATGAAACAACGTTTTCCCCAGAGCTCCATAGCAAACAGGAAAAAGAAGGCAAGGTTCAGAATAAGAACTTTGAACCAATACTTCAGAGTTGGTTCAGAAAACCATGTAGAGAACCAGGAATTCTACATAGCTGCAAGATGAATGACGTCAAATAAATGTGTTTATAAGCCAAAGGAGAAGTATTGTCCAAATCAATAATTCTTAGTAGTTCATTGCCTTGCTTGACATATGGCTGAAAACTTGACTATCTTCTTCTATGTAATGTACTTTAAAGAAATTCATCTGGAGGAGGAGACATTTAATTCCATTAATCTTACAGTGAGAAAACACTACTATAAGCCAGACCTTGCTTCTCCTTCCAGCTGTGTAAAACCTTATGCAAATGATGTGAATTTTTTGAGCTGTAGTTCCTTATTCTCTATGATGAAACTCAAACTCACAGGACTTTCATAATCAAATGAGATATGCCTGTAAATTAAAAGGGCCTATGTGCAAGTAAGATAATTTTCTATTCTCTGTAGTGTGTTCTGAGTTCACAGAGGCCTTGTTGACTGTATCCTATGTGCAGGAAGTATCTTCAAACAAAAGAAAAATATTGAAAGATATGATTCATGCTTTTTCTAAGCTATAGGTTAATGGTCAACAGGTCATCTGCTGTCTCTGCCTCCTAAGTTCTGGGATTAAAGGCCGGTGCCACCACCTCCCTTGACAGCTCCATTTTGAATTGGGTTGGATTATAGAGAAGAAATCTATTTTGCTGTGTTATTTTTACCTTTTCTTCTCTTGCATCCAGGTTCCTGCTGGGTCTTCTGGTGATCTGAGAGGTGGTATCTACTATTAAAATCCCCAAACTCCTGACTACACCAACTTAATTTGTTTCAGTGTGTGTGTGTGTATATGTGTGTGGGAGTGGTGTTGAGACATGGTCTCCTGTGCCGAAACTGGTCTCAAACTTGCTATATAGCAGAGATTAGCCTTGAACTCCTGATCCTCTTGCCTGCCTCACAAGTGCAGGAATTATAGGTATGCATCACCAAGGTTGACAGTGGCAACTTAATTTGAAAAAAGAAAAGCCAAGAATAGGATTCTCAACAGATCCAAAAAGATGAAAGTCCCAGTTCTACCTACCACTCCTTCACTCTTCCCATTTGTGGTACTATAGGCCTGATTATGCCAGTGGAGTCCATCTCTCCATGAGTGAAATTATAGGGGTACTTGAAATTCCTGAAGTCAACTGGTTCTTAAGCTTTGAAAGCTATTGACCTTTTCAACAAAAAATACTTCTCCATATTTCACACAGCCACTTCATTTCATGAAGGATCATTATTAAGAAGCCATAGTTCTCAGCCTTTTTTCTTCACAACCTGACATCCATAGAAATAATATTTACATGACACACTGGGTATGTTAAAAAGATTTAAAGACATGGTATTTGGGGGAGAATTAATTTTCTTTATATCATAAACCTTAAAAACAACAGCAATAACAAAAGTGCATATTAATGCCTGTCATGACCCTCAAAACAGCCTAGATTGCTCTTGAACTCACTTTGTGGCTGACTTCTGCAACACCTGACCCACCTATCTTAGCCTTCCAAATACTTTGATTACAGGCTTATGCCACTCTGGCTTAAACTGTATACTTTTAGTGAAAAAATGAATATATAATATTAAGGATGTTAAATATTTAATCTGCATAAGTTTCTAAATAAAATCTTTAAAATTTGATGAAGATCAGAGATTCCTTCTGTAAACATAACACATTTTAGTATAAGGTTTTATGACTGAAATGACTGTTTCCGGTGAAAAACTGTACTGATGATCTCTTAAAATTATAGTCATTATCGGTAAACATTATTGGTAAGTTCATACATGTAGTTAATAAAATTTTAAAATTGTCACATTTCAAAATTTATAAGTATAAAATCATATTTGTCTCTTGTAGCTCATTCTTGCCTTTGTCCAACCAGAAGATATATGAAAATCTCTTGTGATGATATGAATGCATTAAAATCCATTTAACTTTATTACCAAGTATATATTGCAAAATAATTACAAATCTGTAATTTGCAGAGTATGCTGTGTTATTGGAACGATAATTACGCAACTAACTTAGACATAATGAAAAAGGCATCTCAAACATAAACAAGGGAAAAGTTAATGTAGACTTCACATAAAAGAAAAGAAGTTGAGAGCTGAATCCATTTAGGCCCTCAGCCATACTTGAAGCTGAAAGTCATTTTTCTTGGGTACCTGATACATGTTGTCTTCTGATAGCTTTAAAGCAATATGCACCATACCCGGCTTCTGAAAATGATGTCCTGATGGTATAGTGCTACTTAACTTTGCCCAGGAAGTCCTTTATTATGTTTGCTACCCAGTGGGACCTTAGGCCATACTACAAGTCATCTTACCCTATGGGATGTTCTCTAAGAATCACTAGATGACACTGTTTCTGGCCAGAGGTGATTTACCTAAAGAAATACCAACTACTCCAGTTCTTTCCAGGCCATTCCTAAGGCTGAATAGATAACTATCTTGTAGTATGTCTATAATCATGCATCATATACTAAATGAAATGTGACTGTAGTTTATATAACTAAACTTATTCAAAAAAGACAAAAACAAGGAATTTAGCCATGAACCTCAAACCACAGAGTCAGAAGCTCTGACTAGCTAGTACTGGTGTCTTCAAATTGATGAAAAATACAGAAGTACAGAAAAAATTACAAACTGTACTCAGCTATTGCTACAAAAAGAAATGCTACTACTAAGATGAAGAAACCTTAATAGAATAGTGAGGCACACAAGTACCCAGAGACTATAAGAAGCAGTCGGGAGTTAGACAAGAAACTAGCTACCAGAACAAATAAATAAGGTTTTTAGTTCTAGTTTCAGTATCAGAGAAGCTGTTTTTAGAGCTGAGACAATAATTTAATAATTGGCACTTTACTAAATAAATGGATACCAGGAACATGATTTATCCCCTATACTGTTGTTTGCATACATCTTATAAGGTAATAGTTAAAGACTTTCTTATTCTCTGGTTCTTAGATACAGTTAGAACACAGCCATTAGTGTGTCATTGGATCAATGCAAAGCTGACTTAGATCAAGATGCTCAATATATTTGTGAAATGGCATAGAACATGATAATTGATACAGTCCTGAAACAAGACCGAGAAAATACAGGTTGAGCATCCCTAATTTGAAATAAAAATCATTTCCAAATCCAATGATTTTGTGTTAACATGCAGTCACAGGTGGGAAATTAAACATCATGAAGATGTTTCATGTGCAAAATTATTAAAACTATAAATTTTATAACCTTTAGACTATGTATATAATATATATGAAACATAAATGAATTTCATGTTTAAACTTGAACTGTATCCCCAAGACTTTTCATTACAAGTATAAATTTTAAAATCTGAAAAAAATGAGAAATATTTTTGGTTTCAATCATTTTGGATAAAGGATACTCAGTGTGTCTATTGTTGGTCCTTCCTAGTAGAAGCAAGCAGCTCCTGGTATTCTTTATGAATTTATACAAGATAAAAAACATATATTAGATCAATAGTTGTGTAGCAGGTACCAGAAGATGAGTTGACTTACTTCAATAAAAACACTATATATAGAAGAGCACATGCAAATGTAGAGTAACATCTGAGTGAGTT